TTGCTTGGATATATTGAAAGATAATTGGAGTCCAGCACTAACTATTTCTAAAGTCCTCCTTTCTATCTGCTCACTTCTTACAGACTGCAATCCTGCCGACCCTTTGGTGGGAAGTGTTGCCACTCAGTATATGACCAACAGAGCAGAACATGACAGAATGGCCAGACAGTGGACCAAGAGATACGCTACATTAACTGGGTTTTCACAATTCTTACGTTATTTGTGTCACAGAAGAGAGCTGCTTATGATTTTGAAGGGGCGGGAGAGGGTGGGAGTTGGTAAAGAGTAGGGTATTTCTATAACAGATATTATTCAGTCTTATTTCCTAAGATTTTGTTGTAACTTAAGGTATCTTGCTACAGTAGACAAAATTGGTAATAGCAACTTTTAAAACTCATTAGTTCTACAATATTGGCTGGAATGTAGAGAAGAATGTACATTTAGACATTTGGATTCAATTGCTTGTAGTACATAATTTTTAAACAGCTCAATTTTGTACAGGTTATACACATGGCCATTTATGTAAAGTCACTGTAGGGCGGAATGGGGTTTTTTTGTTTAAAAAATTGGAATTTGTTTTTTCTTTCTTGGAAGGGAGCATTGATATTTAACAGAGTTTTTAGAGACTGTCATCTCATATATATATATATATATATATATATATATAAATAAATATATATATAAAATAGACATGTGGCTATAAGAGACCATGTAGGAAATTAGTAGTTAATGTATTTTATTTAAAGGTTTGAATCAGGACTTGGGAGAAGCTGTAGTGAAATACCTTAAGCTGTTAACTGTAAGGCGTGGAATAGGAGTCACTCAGTGGATTGGTTATATGTTGTAGACTTCTTAACGTCTGCATTTGTTACTGTGCTAATAAACCGTATTAAAAACAATCAGCTGACACTCTGTTCATTTACTTTCCTTTTGGTTGCAGTTTTCAGATTTTCCCCTTAAAATAACTTAATGAAACATGATTTACCTTTAAGACTGGTACTTTCTACAACAGTAGATTGGGAGATGTCTTGAAAAGGTTAAATCCAACCCATCTAGGTTTCAAACACAAACTCTACTGCATCTTTTTATTTATTCCTTTTGGAAATGGACTCTGGATCTGAGTGCTAGGATTATAAGCATGTACCACCATGCCTCACTACTACTGCATCTCTAAAAAGCATTTTCTAACTTGTAGTTGCTGCAGTAGAAAGTATATAAAAAATGGATTCTGCTATGAATACACTGGTTCACCTGCCTTGGAGGGCAGTTTCCATATGTGATCCCTCCAGGCAGACCCTAGTGCACATACATTCACTACAGGTTTTTAGAAGGGTATGGTAACTGTGTGGATACTCAACATAGGTCTACATTGCATTCAGCAGAAAAAAACCAAACTATAACAGTCTATTAAATTATATGGGGAGAAAAACCCAGAGGATGAAAGGGGTGAGAAAAATAGCAGCAGCTTATTTATAAGAATTACCTTTTACATGCGTAGTTACTGGACTGAATTCACTAAACTGAGCAAATTAATCTTAAAAGTATTCCATTTAAAATGTTACAGGCGGGGCCGGGGATTTAGTTCAGTGATTTTGCCACCTGCTGAACAAGCGCAAGGACCCGAGTTCGATCCCCATTACAAAAAAAAATGTTACAGTCTACTCATCAGCGTGTTCTTTGCTGAACAGCTTACTTCATATTTACTTAAGTCAAATGGTTAACTGCTTGATTCACTATTGAATTCAAGTGGCTTACTTCCTCTTAAAAGTACAAAGCCGTCTACTTGCTAAAAAAATTAACTACATTGCTCAGATCTTGCCAAATTTCAGAGAATCACAGTTATAAATGCTTATGATGTATTTATTGCATCTGACTAGGCATCTAGAAAAGATAGAGTATTCCTTCTAAAAAATGGAAGCTTCACTGCTAGGTCATTCTTAAAATAAGGAAGAGCCTCTATTTTTTTGGTTTATCAACAGGGACTGAAGCTGAAGAACAGAAAGAAGCCTCTGGGTGTGATAAACCTATTTCCACTGCCTATTACCTCATGTTAAATGAAATTTGGAACAAAACCAATTCATAACTTTTGTCTTAATTCAGTGAGCTCTCCATGAGATCAAAATTATTATGGAGTACCCAAATTGTTCCTTGGTATTAGTCCTATTTGGTTACATAAAAATTGTCATGTTTCATAATCTTAGACATTAATGAACTTTTAAAACAGATGCTTGAGCTAAAAAGTTTGCATAGACTTATACAGAATATGATAGCTTCTGAAACATCTTGTGTGGTTACAAAGGGTGCATTTGCATAGTGTTCAAATTTTATTTTGCTGTTTTAACAACTACAACATAAATGACAGGTGCCAGTTTCAGGGATAGGCTTCAAAAGAGAATGAGAATATATTGCATACTAAGCAGTAACAAACTTACTAGTCTGATAATTTCATAATTTAATTATTACCTGAAGTCCATTAAATTACTTAGGGGCTTCCTTAAAGGCCAAAGGTAGATACAAATGGCCTACTTTAAATATTAAGCTTACTCAGTATTCACAATTACAGGCAATCACTATTCAACAAACAATTGTGTAATTGCTGATTTTTAGTTTTCAGAGCTAGAGTTTCCTTTGTTTTTCCTCCCAGGCAAAGGGAAGCTTGATTTGCTCTGGGGTTGGGAAAGTTTACTGGCTAGTAAAGTGAACGGTTCAATCAAAGTTTTCCGATCCGTAACAGTTACCTCCCATAGTCTCACTTTCTCGCTTCTTGCCCATTGCTGTGCCACTTCAGCATCCACTTGTCTCTGCTCAGAAAGGTCAATTTTGTTTCCTAATACAACAATTGCAACCTGAAAGAAAATGCATTAAAAAAATTATACTACTACTTGGCCAACATCAGATTTTAAACAAAATAGATAAGGAAGAAACATTGTCCCATTTAACAAACTGCTTCATTAAAGAGTAAGGTATCACCATCTTCCCGAGTTATGTATAAAAACACACATAACTGTAAAAAAAAAAAAAAACAACACATTTAACACAGGTAAAGTTATACTTTTTTTTTTGGTACTGGGGATCCAACTCAGGACCTTGTCCTTGAGGCAGGCCCGGTGCCCCTGGGCTAAATCCCCGGCCCAGGTGAAGTTACTTTTAACTCAAGTATGAATGGAAGATAGCCTTGGAAATGAACATCTTGGATAATGGTTTAAGATAATGGTTTCAGTGTGTATTTGTTTGGCTCTGCTTGGGTGTTACGGTTTATATCTGGATGTCCCACTACCAAAGCCTCATACAGGTGGGGCTTCGCAGAGGTGACTGGACTACAGGAGCATGAAACTCATAGATGGATTAGTTTACAGCTAAATGTGATGTTGGAAAGTGAAGCCTACTCAAGAACCCGGGGGGGGGGGGGTCACTAGGGGTGTGGCCTGAAAAAATCTCTCCCCCTCCCTGGCACCTCCCTTTGATCTCTCTCTGCCTCCCACTGCCACCGCGCCGTGAGCTCCTTCTCCTCTGTCATGCCACCCTGCCATGGAGCCACATGATTACGGACTAAAACTTCTACAAAGTGAGCCAAAATGAACCTTTTCTTTTAAATTGTGGGCGTTGGGTATTGGGTTTCAGCAAAAAGAAAGTGACTTAAGACACTGGGGGATTTGCAACATAATGCTTAAATAGAAGACGACTCCTAGAGCTATGAGAATTCTGTACATCTAAGAATCAATCTTAAGTGCTGGAAATAAGATTAGTCCTTATTCTCAGTCCTAAAAAAGTACCTGCTATTTGATTAATCATGGGCCAACAGAAACATTTTACACTAAATAGAAGTAAATCATACATTTAAACCTAATGCCTACTCTCACCAGGCCCTGCTTTAGGTGACCAGAACACAGCAGTCACTATCATGTCAAAGCCCAGGGGGAAGGGAGAAGAGACTACCTAGATTTTCAGATGATGCCAGTGGAAAAAGGGGGCTCAATTCTCAAAGACGGCATCTCTGAAGAACACCAAAGCAGCAAACCTTTGAGCCATTGCCGTTTTTTACCATTAAGGTGTGTACCCAGTAAGGCAAGACTTTGTTCCTGGCAGAATGGAATAAGCCCAGGTTCTGGTTTCCTTAGTAAAACTCGTATTACTCCATCTCACCAGGAACTACCTTCTTCAAAAGCCTTCGTATCATTCTTTTTGGTGGACTGAGGATTGAATCCAGAGACACACTACCACTGAGCTACATCCCCAGACCTTTTTAGTCTCTCTAGTTGCTCCAACTGGCCTCAAACTTGTGATCCTCTTGCCTCAACCTCCGATACTACTGGGCTCTTCCTGTCATTCTTCATGTACATTCCCCAGTATCCCCATCTCTCTCCTCTCCAACTGCAGTGCCCCACCACCACCACTACTACTATGAATATTCTCTTCACCTTCTTGCCAAACTGAAATGGAACTTAGCCCTACAGTCCTGTTTTTCCTATCTTAACCCTCCTAACCATTACCACTGAGGGCTGAAAAGAGGCAAAGTGGTTAATGTGTGTCCTTTTCCTCAATGCTGCCCCAACAGTATCCCTCCCTAAAAACCAGTATACTACCTACTGCCCCCTGCCCTTTGTTTCTGCTGACCACAGACCTGTCTCATGAATATTCCCTCACTATACTACTGTGCTTACAGTTCCTAGTGACTTCACTAGCCATGTTGATGATGCTTCCAGTCACTGGATCTCCCAGTGCTTTGACTTCTCCAATGAACTTATTCTGACCTCAGCCATTATTTCTGTCACATCTTAGACCCTGACATTGTATCTACTCCTGTGTGTGATCTTAATTCCCAGCATCTCACTGACCCCCTACCTTCCCAGGCATGCCCAATACCCTAACTGCAGCAATTTTAAACACAAGATGTTTAAAACACTCTACTAGCTCTACTTTTTATCACTGTCCTTCCACCCCACTCATGTCCCTAACTCCTCCTCAGCTCAGATTCTTTTAATCCACTCCCCCCATTACCCCCACCATACTCACCTGGCAAAATGCCCTTCTCTGCTAAATTTAATTCTTACACCACACTGTGCTTATACCACTTCATGTGGCTGGAGAAAAACACAACCCTTTTAGCTAATTTCATCCATAACCACTGACCTCAAGCTGGAGTTCCCCAGCAAATGTATTACATTTTCTCCATTTAGTCTGTAACTAGACAACATCTCAGACCTTGGCCCTCTCCAAACGAACACCTCTTTATTTCAGTTGGAGACTATTTCAGTCAAAACTGAAGAAAATAAACAAAACCCAGCAGTTGTTTCTTCCACACTAACAAACTGCTGACTTTCAGCCCACCTCATTGGTCTAGACCCCACCTTCTTACACCTGGACAAGGATGTCACCACAGCAATTATTCTCCAAGTTTTCTCTTTACTTAGTCACTCTCATTAACACTCAAACACATTCTATTCTCTTGTCTAATTACACCTTTTCTATACCACACCCTTCTCCAGGTCCTCCTACTCTTTTATACCAATGTTCTTTCAAGGAGCTGACTGTGTTGTGTTCAATTCTCTCATATCCCAGACTTAAGCTATTTCACTAGAACTATTTTTGTACCTAAGTCTGTGTAATAAAGACTAATTCTTATCTTAGTCCCCAGTTGACTTATCTGCAGCATTTGACAGTTTGATTACTCCCTGTTTGGGGGGGGGGTACTGGGGATGGAACTCAGGACCTTGCACTTGCAAGGCAGGCGACAGCACCACTGAGCTAAATCCCCAGCCCACTCTGTGGTTTTTAAAGTACTGGCTTTACTTGCTTTCTGAGATAGCCTCATCTTAAGATTCTCCTACCTCACTGGCCACTTCTTCCAAGACTCCTTGGCTGGTTTCTCATGACCCTAGATAATCCTCCAAGAGCCTCATGTGCTCATAGGCAGGGCATTTGGAAGGTGACTAGATGATGACTTGTGGTTAGGATGTGGAATCTTCTGAGAGGCTGGTGGATACTGGGGGAATGGCCTGCAAGGGTTTATCGCCTGCCCCAGCTCCTCCCTCTCTGCTTCCTGTCCTCTAGGGAAGAGCAGCTCATGCCATCCAGCCTTGCAGCAAGCAGACTGAACTGAAACCTCTACAAACGATGAGCCAAAATAAGCCTCTCCTCCTGTATTTATTTTTATTTTTATTCATTTTTTTTGAGACGGTCTTGCTTTGTAGTTCAGGCTGAACTCACTATGTAGCCCAGGCTGGCCTCAACTTTTGGCTATCCTGCCTCTCAGCCTACCAAGTGCTGGGATTACAGGGATGAGCCACCGTGTCCAGCCTCTCCTTTAAGTTGTGGGTGCTGGGTATTGTGTCCTAGGAACAAAAAAAGTGACTAAGATAACCTCCAAACATGTAAGTATTACCCTCCTTGCTTCTCATGTCTATTACCAACACACCAGCCAAAGTGGTCAGTTAAATTCAAGTTAAAAGTTGAACCTCACTCATTTTAAGAAAAAATGAAACTATTTTTGTGAAATCTAAAAGTTAAAACCACATCCTGTTGTTAAGACTGGAGAAACAGGCTTTTTCATACTAATCCTGTGAAAAATAATTTGCCAATAAACCCCACCTAAGCTGATTAATTTTACCTCTAGTAAAGGGGTAAAACATTTCAAAGGCAAGCTGAAGGACAGAATCATTCCTTTTGGGCAGAGACGGGAGAGTTTGCTGGGAACTGAAGCGAGGGCTTTGTGCAGATTCTAGGTATGTGTTTACCACAGCTTTGCCCCCAGCCCCTAGATACAGGATTCTGGTGGTTAAGGACAGTGGTGGGAACCAGACTTCGTAACAGTCCACTTGTCGTTTTCATTTCTGAACCATATACAAGCATTACCTATTTAATTTTTAAAGAAAATATGAAAGTGTGTGGTGCTGCGTGCCTGTAATCCCAGCACTCACGAGGCAGAGGCAGAACTACCATGAGTTCCCAGCCTGAACTACATAACGAGATCTATCTTTCAAAAAAAAGGAAAACAAAAAATTAATAGATGCAAAATAAGCCACATCATTTCTTTACCCAGAACCAATGGCTTCTGATCTAATAGTGAAAGCCAGTGTTGCCCTCATCTCCTATGACTCACCTGAGCCGAGTCTAGCCTTACTGCTGTTTCCTGAGTGTGACAGGCAAACTCAGGCCTGAGACCCTAGCACTAGCCATCCCTCCACGTGGGGCATGCTCCCTCCTTCCTTATTCCCTTCAAGTGTCTGTGAAAAGGCACTTTATCAGGGAGGCCTTCCCAGATCACGCTATAGACTATAGTGCTTTCCTTCACTCCCCACTGCTTTACTTTACTTTTCTTCATAGCACCACTCTGCATGTATAGACATGCTTATTGCCTCCACCCCCAAAATGGAAGCTTTATCACAGGAACGAGGACTCTTCCCTATTGCATTCTCTGTACCTAGAAGTATGGCTGCACACAATAGTTGCTCGATAAGCATTTTTGGGAAGTTATGCTTCCCAAAGCTCCATAATAACCATCTGAGAGAGGTACTATTATTCTCATTATACAGATAAGGAACTATGGCAGAAAAACTGAAAAACAGAGGCAAGATTTAAGAATTAAGTATATGAATGTTCACTGAAGTATTCAACTTTTGAGGGGCACCGGGGAATCTGGACACTATTGAAGAAAGCATAGCATTTATCTGGGAAAGATGAGAAATAAGAGGAAAGCTGTCATTTCTTCCCTTTTTGTATCTTTTGAAGGTAGAGCCTTGTGAATATTATATTCACAAACTAAGAATTCAAAAGAATAAAAAGAACATCAACACGTGATATACAGGTATGCGTTGTGACAAAAATACGATGAATGTTGGTGTTGGTGTGTGCTTATTACAGTAAAAGCCACATTTCCATTAATTCCACTCAAATTGGGGACTGAACCTAGGGCGATTTAGGGGGCAGGGGCTGAGACAGGGTCTCACTATATAATTCAGGCTGGCCTCAAACTCAAAGCAATCCTCTTGCCTCAGCCTCCTGAGTGCTGAGATTACAGGCGTGCACCAACACACCTGGCTCACACTTGGGATTTTTAACATACCCACCTACCTCTTTTTTGTCTTTGAATTTATCGATTTCTTTCTTCAGAAGCTCCACTCTTTGAAAAGATTCAAGGTTATTCACACTGTACACAAGAACAAAGCCATCAGCAAATGAAAAATAATGCTTTGGCAACTCAACGCCTTCTTGTAGGCCTCTGGTGTCATAAAGATGTAACTGTTCCTTTACTCCCCGATCAGTTTCCACGGAAGCCATATACACATCTTCCATTGTTTCACAATCTTCCATTCCTGGGATTTAAAAGAAATTACTCTTTTTGGATAAGCCAGTGCCAGTTGTTCAGTATTTCCTTGTCCTTTAGCAGTTGGTTTTCTAACTTTACTGTTTACCACATGTAATAATCACATTTCTATTTTTCTAACTTATTTGTTTGTTTTTTGGTACCAGGGATCGAACTCGGGTCCTTTATTTTCCTAACTTCCTGAAAATGAAAAGTAGTTGTTCAGTCAATGAACAGGGGGCTGGGGATGTAGCTCAGTGGTAAAGAGCTCACCCAGCCTGCACAAAGGGCCTGAATTCAATCCCCAGCACTGAGGGCGAAAAATTTTTAAAAGTCATAGTAAATGAACAAAGTATTTTTTTAAAAAGATTTATTCTATATAGAAATAAAACAATTAAAAAATTAGCAGTGAGATTTACTGTTACTTTTGTGTCCAGCTGGGGCCTGAGAACCGAGCCTCTGACTCCCAAGTAGACCTACTGGGTCACTTTCACAATCCATTTGCAGTCACTTCAAACTAATCAAACCTGTTGTCTTCCCTCCCCACACCTGTTTTTCCTTGCTTTCATTGCTTAATCACCATCAATTGGGCAGTCTTCAGAGTTCTTTTTGAGGAAGGAAAGTGAGAAGTGCTACTAAGCAGCCACCCTAAAGGTGAAGCATCTGTTTCATCACTGCTTCCTTCTAGTCCCACTGGCTTGTTATCTTCACCTGAACATCAATAAACACCGGGCAAATATCTCATACTCTGAAGATGCTCCTGAAATGTCAACCACATGGACCATTCCAGAATCACTGTAACCCTTTCCCTTTCGGTTCATATTAGGCCTTGTATGGTTAATATTGTGTACTTTTAATCTTTCGTATCTATCCTCTCCAACTGGATTGTAAACACCTTTAAAGCCCAGACAGGTTTACCTCTTTGTAGCTCTTAAGAACAAACTGAATACATAAAAGGTCCTTAATAAACGTTTGCTTTGCCAGACATGGTGGCCTATGCCTGCAACCCCAGCCCTAAGGGAGGCTGAGGCAAAAGAATAGCTGCAAATTCAAAGCCAGCCCAGGGAACTTAGCATAACCCTGTCTCAAAAAAAGGGGGTGGGGGGTGGGGATGTAGCATAGTAGTAGAGCAACCCAGACTTGATCCCTAGTACTGCAAAACAAAACAAAATAAATACAGTAAGTCCCTGACTTACAAACATTTAAGTTGATAACTTTCACAGATGCGGACAGATCTCACATTACCAACATTCTAGCTCAGGTGTCTGCCAGACATTGTCACAGCTGTGCTGCCGTGTGCTTACTGTACAGTGCGATGGTGCACAGTAGTACAGTGCTCAGTCAGAGCCCGGGAGGTCCAGGAGCAAGAGGAAAAGCAGTGGTGATGTGGAGGGGACTGCTGAGAAGCACAAAGCAATAACCATGGAAACAAAAGTGGAAAAGTGCACCAAGGTGAAAAGATGGTAGATGTCACTTTTTTTTGGTACTGGGGATCAAACTCGGGACCTTGCACTTGCAAGGCAGGCGGCACAACCACTGAGCTAACTCCCCAGCTGCTCATTCTTATAAAATGAATCATTCAACCACTGGCACAATTCTAAAGATCATGGAACATATGAACTTTTTTTTATGCTTTACATTATATATTTGTGTCAAAGGTAGGACTCACTTTGTCAGACTTATGAACAAATCCAACTTATGAACATTCTAACAAAGAGAACTTGTTCATAAGTCAGGGGCTTGCTGTAAATGTTCACTGAATGAATAAATGACCTCATAACTCAATTTCAGTCCCTTTCTTGCCTGTTGTAGTTAACTCTGGTGTCCATTCGGTTAAGAACTGCCTAGCAGCCTAATTTAGCACAGTCCTGGGTGTGTGTGAATGACACTTACTGAAGAGGGAAGACCCACCCTGGGTGTGGGTGCCACCAGGCTTGTAGCCCAGATGGAATAAAGAGAAAGAAGGAAGTCTTGCTTTTACTTCTTCAGAGGAGCTTCTGCCTCCACTGCTGCTTTGGACATCCACCTCCAGGCCTTCAGAGCACTCTTCAGCCTTCCAACACACGCCCTTTGGGTTTCCCATGTGGACCCACACTGGACTCTGCAGTGATCCCCAGGCCTTCGACTTTGGGCTGTATCCTCTGATTCTCTGGTGTGCAGACAACCCTCTTTCGTTATTCCACCCTGAATCTGCAGGTGGCCACTAAGAGCCTTAGCTTGGAAATCCTTTATAGATCATACATATTTTTATATTAATTGTTCTTTCTTGTGTACCCTAATATACTTGTGATCTTTCAAAAATGTATTTTGCCACTTTGTTCCACTTGGGCAGGTTTTATCTCGATAGTCTGTAAGTTCCTTAAGTGAAAGGAAGTATTTTGTGTACACAGCAGTTATTTAATAATCTTTTGTTGATAAAGGAATTAGAGAAAATTAACACTGAATTTTAATTAGTGCAAAGGCATGTGATAAAATAGGTTCAGTATGGTCCCACTAACCACTTTCGTGTTTAAATATGAAGTTTAAATATGAGATAAATCCAGAAGTGAAATCATAGATTAACATTTACGTTTATCATTAAGTCTTTACATTAAGGAATGTGCTCAGTGTTTAGTAAAGAAAGATTATCCATAAATTTGCTTATATATGTGTCATTCTGCCATAAATTAATCCTAAAGGATATTAAATGTTGTTCTATTAAAAACATAATGTGTTGAGCTTTGATTACAAAGAAATTAAAGCAAAAACTCTACCAAAGCTAGTGTGGTTCCCCTGCTCCCACCAACTCTGCAAGCTCAGACTTCCTGATATTCTGTTTCTCCTCAGACCAGCTGAAGTCATGACTCTTCCCATGGCTCTCTAGCTCTCCTTGCCACTTCACAGTGCTGAGCGCCAGCAGAAGACAGAAGGCACAGTCCTGGGAAGGAAAGCCAGAGGGTCTCGGACCATGGGATAGAGGGCATAAGGAGTTCCACAGTGAAAACTAGGGGCAATTAAGTAACATGCCTGCACACACACATATACATTTACTGAATGATGGACACTTCTTAAGCTCTCTTCCCTTTCCCTGCTCTCAAAACTTTGGCAGGCTACCCTTTATCCCTACATAGCTGGGAGTGGTGGCACACACCTGTAATCCCAGGACTCAGGAGGCTGAGGCAGGAGGATCACCAGCCTGGGCTACCTAGTGAGTTCAAGCCCAGCCTGAACTACACAGCAAGACTATTGCAAAAAAACAAAAATCAAACCCTACACAGAGGAATCTGGGGAATCCAGCCAACAGAAAAAGAAAAGTTCTAAATACGCTGACATCTAAGGCTCCCAACAAATACCCCATTCAGATCACCTTATTGAGGATCAAAGTCATGAATCCTATCCATATGCTTAGAGTTCCCAATTAGTTTTGTAAGTCTCCACCCTCTATTATAAGGAAATAACCAAGCTGAAGAAATGGAGACCAAAATCAGAAAAGAGCATCTCAGAGGAAACAAACTATGCAAAGAAAAACTACCTAATATTATGTCAGAGAGTGCATCCATGAAATAAGAATAACATACTAATAAAAATTCAATGGGAGGAGGAATGTATAAATATGAGGAAATCTCCCAAAAAGTACAGAAAAAATATTAAGAGGAAACAGGAGGAAAAATAAGAAAATTAGAGAATCAGTGTAAAAATTTCAGAAAGGGAGAACACAGAATACGGAGGAGGGACAGCATTAACAAAGTAATTCAGAACTGTGCTCGCTTCAGCAGCACATATACTAAAAAAAAATCATAACTCAGAACTAAGGAACACACATTTTCATGTTGAAAGGACCTGCTGAAACTCAGGTGTGGTGTAGCACCTGGAAGGCTGAGGCAGGAGGATCATCAGAAGTTCAAAGCCAGTCTGGACTACATGGTGAGTTCAAGGTCAGCTTGTCTCAAAAAAACAAAAACAAGGGGCCTGGGGATTTAGCTCAGTGGTTTTGCTGCCTGCTGCACAAGCGCAAGGACCCGAGTTCGATCCCCAGTAACAAAACAAAACAAAAAACCCATTGAGTGCCTGCTACACTGGATAAAAAGAAATCTATAACAAATCACTGTAAAATTTCACAACAGTGGTGTCTTGCTCCATTTGTGCTTGTATTATAACAAGATAACACAAAAACTGAGTAATTTATAAACAAATTTCACACAGTTCTGTAGACTGGGACATCCAAGATCAAGGCACCAGCAGACCTGGTGTGTAGGAATGGCACATTCTCTACTTGTCCTAGTTCCTTGGACCCATGTAGCATTGTTACCTACAACCGAGATGTATATATCCTTCCCTCCTTTGCCGCTGTGGACCACAAGGCCAGGTGGAGCAGTGGAGCAGCATTTGCAAAAACCAAATGGTGAATGCTACACCCTTTAAGACTGCTCAGAGCCAGAACTTGAAGATACAGGAAAGGTAGTGGTGTGGCACGCCATCCACATGACTTCTAAACCCTGTAGTACTTTCACTCCAGGTCCCTCATCCAAGACACTTCTCAAACTCCCATCCCTCAGCCAGAATGCTGACTACCTGGAGAATGCCACCACATCTCTGAAGACTCACTGAGAACTTGCTGGACCAGGACATCTAGGCTGGCAACGGCAAGAGATTCCTCTATGGAAGATTCCCAGGCCATGGCTGAAGTTGAGTGGGAACAGCATCTGGCCCAGAAAACTAGTAGCTGTCATGAGGAAGAGGCAGCACCCAGGAGAAATGGCAATGGCTAACAAACACATGGTTTGTGCACACCTGGGGCAGGGGGTTAGAACTGTTAAAAAAGCTTGACCCCAAACTTTAAATAGTCACTGCAGTTTCAGCTCAGTTATTATGTTCTGTATCTGTAACACTACACTAAGTGTCCCATGAAGGGTAAGCTTTCATGTCAGAACCTAGCCCCAGACTGTTTACCTTGTAAATGGTGCTAACCATGGATACCAGGGTGCATTGTGTCAGCCAAGGAACAAGGCATATTGGGAAATGTAGTTTTCC